TGGTCAAGTAAAGCAAGCAAGAAGGACTGATCAACAGGCTCTTGGCAATCTTCATTAGTATCAAATAAAATATGGCAAAAAATTGTCCTTAGCTGGTGAAACAGGCTTCCTTCATCTCATAGACTTTTCTTTTTCCTGGCTATTTAAATGAGGTCTCTGTCTGAAGAAATCACAGATAATAAAACCATGAGGGCTGGTGAGAGACCATCCAGCTTTGCAAAATCAGCCTTTCCCCTACATTCTGCAGATAAAATTTGGCTAAGGCTATTCTGTCATAGGATTGTTATCCTCATTAGGAGAAAGTGTTAGCAGCATGCTCCTGTCCCTGGTGGGCAGACGTGACATGGTCCAAAACTGAGGTGAGTCTCAATGAGGAGGATTAATGGCAGAGGTAGTAGACCATGTCTGAAAAAGCTGTGTGTAATCTAAAAGCTGTTGGAAAATCTGGCTGATCTAACCTTGTTTGGGAAACATCCACAGTGATTCATATAGAATATAATATAGTTCAACTGTATATAAGTGTTCTTTGACAGAGCATTTATTCTAAATGCTTCTTGGAATCTGTTGAGCAATAAAAGCATCGTCTTAAATAACAATGGGGGAAAGAGGAAGAAAAGGCTGTTAAACACCACCAGGAAGAGCATATATTCAGGAGGTTTAAGAAGCACTTTGGCAGGGGGAGGAAAGTCAACATGGTGCAGGGAGGAGCAGTAAACACTGTAACAGTCTGGAGCTGGAAATTTTTGACTAAAACCAACCAAAAAAAAAATAGCAAAACAGAAAAACCAAGCAAACTAGAGCAGAACAGCCGAGGTGTACCATTCCTAGGTTTCTAACAAAGAAACTTTCCACTGGGGGAAGCAGGCACTTTCTTCAGCAATTTTCATTTAGTTGAAAGTATCATCTTCCCATGAAAAGTGTTTCAACTGGAAATTGTGAAACTATTAATTTATTGGCTGTTGCAAGCCCTTGAGAAGAACTCAAGATGCAGTAGTGTGAAAGAAGTCCAAGAATAGTCTCTGCTCTCTGGTGTTAGGCTATGTCTGTACACATCATCACAGACTTGAAATAAGGGATGGGGCTGGAAAATTGACTCGCAGCCAGTGATAAATGTTGACTTATTTGCAGAGTGGGGCACTGTCACTGTCAGACACAAAATGATTTACACAGACACTGCTGGAGGTGTGGTAGAGGAAGAAGCAACTTTATTCTGTTGTTCAAGTATTTATAGATTCTCTACAATGACCAGTGATTGGACAGTTAGGTTACCACCTCCCCAACCACACTGGCCATAAGAAACATTCATAAAAGACACATCTTTAATAAAATGTATAAACATCTATGTTTATAGTTACTTTCCTGGGAAAGTGTTTAGAAACTATGAAAACAATGTCAGAAAGTTTGATTTTCAGGGTGACAGGACATCTCTATGTGCACATTCCCCTACCTTGGCAGCAATGTCTCCTGTTCATGATGTCTTCTCTAAAATTCTCAATCTCTGGGGAAATGCACCTGAAAGCAAGAAGGCTTGGACTCTGCCAAGATCAATGTGTGTGTCCTCAGCTGAATGGTCCCACACTGGTAGCTTCTGTTCCCAGCTCCAGAGCATCATGTTGGGCAGGTTTGCCTGGACTAGAAACCTAATTCCAGTGGGGTCTGCTCTGAACAGTGAAATACAAAACTTTGTTAAAGGGTAAATGGCTGTGCAGGAATGGATGGAGTCGAGAGAGAGCACATGGTGGCCCCCCATAGGTATGAGATGCTCTGTGAGTTTTCCTGTGGTCTGATGATAAGGTAGGTCTGCCAGTTCTAGATGAGAATAAAGAAAGAATAAATTGCATGGCAAAAAAGTCCAGAGTTGCTACCAGACTGAACTACTCAAGGTGCAGAAACAGCAGAAAACTATAGAAATTGTGAATAAAGAGCATTTAAATATACTCACAAGAAGCAGCTTTCTGCCTTAGGAAGAAAAAAATACTCTCAAAACTGCACATCAGGGACTGTATTGTCATTTTCCCCTAACTGGGGCTGTAGCTATCAGAAGTACTTGCGGCTTCCCCTTAGAAATGAAGAGGCTGCTGCAAACCATTTTGTCTCTTTTTTTTTTGTAGAATAGCTTGTATTTTATGATTTCTGGGTGAACTGCAAAAGACAGTCTAGCCAAACACAGTACAACATTGTGAGAGCACGACAGCTTAATGATTGTTGTGTTGTTCATGTTTATGGTATATCATCATGGTGCTGTAATTGAGTGTCTTAAGGAACCTTGCATTTTTGTTTAGCCTTCTTTTTTTTCACTCTTCCCTTTGTTTTTTAAAATATTAAATAAAAGCAGTTGAAAGGCCCAGAAGAGGAACCATTTTGCTATAGTGACTGTAGTAACAAAATATATACACAGAATAAACAAACAGAAGCTCAACAAATTTTGAGCTGCTTGCAAAGCAGAAATTATTTTGTGGTTTACAGACGTGCAGGTGTTTTCATCTTGATTCTTGTGGAGGCATACATGAAGAGGTATTTCTCTCCTGTGCCCAAACCCAAAAGAGACATTTCTGCTTTACTTCCAAATAAGTTGCATAAGGGAGTCAAGCCCACTGTGTTGCATTCTGGCATTGACAATTGAAAAATTGGATAGTGTTCAGGGAAGATCAGCTGGATTCTAATGTGGAGTTTGAGGGGTGGACAGCACATGGAAAAAATGCAAGAGTTGGAAAAAAAACCTGAAGCAGCTGCATGCTTATGTTTTGGCAAAGGGAATTAAAAAAAAATGTTGGGGACAGGCTGTATGCAGGAGAAAGAAGAGGAACAGTTTGAGCTGGCACATAGGAATGTTTGAGAATATATCAGATCGAATTTGAGGGTGGTTTTGGATGAATATCAATGATTCCTTGACAGTGATTTGCAGGACAGTTTTTCTCAGGTTAAGTAAGAAGCCCCATTATATGAAAGTAACTTCAGCAAAACACTCATGCTATGTCCTACTTACCACCAGTGCTGCCTTGCCAAAAAAACAAATGGTCATTTTCTTTAATCTCTCTGTTCCCAGAACAGTGTGATTATTACTATTATTGACATGATTAGTAGTCTGATCTTTATTGTTCAACAGCATTATAATATTAAAAATAATTAGCACTGTTCCTAGGTATCAGGAAGAGAAAAGCCTTGGGAAGAGTGAAACAGGACAAAGGCTGAAACTGTTCATGCCTGCAGTTGCATACAGACTGGGAAAAGCCAGAAGATTGTTGGCTTCCTCTATCCAAAATGCTAAGCATGGGTTGTGAAATGGCTGCTCTTTAAGCCAACCAAACTAAATACCTAGAGTCTCACATTTCTGTTGTCTAGTGACAAGCACAAATTTGAGCCAAATCCTCCCTTTCCTAAGGTACTGGGAAAAAATAAAGTGAGATCTTGTCTGGCTTGAAGAGATAGCCAAGATATAGGGGTCTGATGGCTCCAGAATCAGTGAACTGGCAAAGAAGAGTTTATATAAAGTACATTTAGCTGGTGTGGAGCTATTTGGGAACTCTTACTGACTGGATTTCTGAAATCTCCTGGCTCCTCCTGTTGATCTGCCTGGTGGCCCAGTGTTGACCTTCCTGTGTGTCTTCCAGAATTCCACCATCTGACTATTGAAAACACCTTCTTTAAAGCTCAATCCCTTTCTGTAAAAGAAATCCTGTTTTATTCATCCAGCAGAACAATGCCATAAACACTTGAGAACTTATTCTCACATTGGCTTAATTTGTTCATTTTGTTGCCTGGGGGAAGTGTCCTGAATCTGTTTGCGTGACAGCCTTCAGCAGTGTTCATATTTGCTTCTTATTCTGCTGGCTGTCATCCTTGTCCCCAGATAAAGGAACTGGAAAATTAGTGACTGAATCAATATCTCATTGCTTTGCCCTGAGATAAGAAAGACAACTTTTTTTTTCTTTTTTTCTTTTTTTTTTGTGTGGAGTTCTGCCAATTGGCTGTCCCTGCTCCTCTCTGTCTTCAGAAAACAGAGCTGCATGGATGGGGCTGGGAGAGAGGAGGAGATGGGAGAAAGTCTCCCCTTAGATGGATTCCAGTGACTTGAGCAGATAAAGGGCCACAGCTGCTTCACATTTAACTGGAAACAGCCAAGCTGCAAGATCAATCCAGGAAGCACCTGTGTCTGTGATGACTCTATTGTTGCTGGGTTCTCAGAATCAGCTCTGACCTGCTGCCACATGCCAAGCCCTGATGTGCTGCACACCGTCCTCTTGGCCAGAGGAACATGCAGAAATGCTCGTTTTTATCAGGCTGCTCCCTCTAAGGATGGAATCAGTGCTGCCTTCCTTCAGAATCAGGGAGTTCAGGATGATGGAATAATTCAGCACAAGTTTTTATGTCTGTGTGTCTGAGAGTTTGAGAGTTTATTGTAAACTCTCAGAGCTCTGAAATTAATTAATTTCAATTAATTACCCTTGTGCCTTATATTTGCACTTCCTGCCCCAGGTGAAGCAACATCTCTTTGCTGTTGTGACTTACTCCTGTCCTTCTGTCTGAAGGAAAGAGCTTCCTCCCTTCATTCTCCTATAGCATCCTACAGATGTGACCCTGGCTCTGCTGCTCGTTGTTGCCTCAGGGTGGAAGTCTCTGCTCCCTTAGGAATGCTCTCCTTCCCCATGGGGTGAAAGCACACTCCATCCACACAGTGATGCAGCCTTTTCACTCCACCAGGACCCCTAACCCTCCCAAGGTGATAGGCAGAATTAGGAAAAATGTTTGACATAACATTCCCCACAGCCCCAGTTTTGGATAACCCTGAAAATTACAGATGCCCTTAGAACTGTCAGGAATCTCCCAGCAGTTGCCAAGCTCCTTGGGATGCCTACACAGCTTCAGCTTTCTGGTGCCTGCTAGTCAGGGTTGCTCCACTCTGCATAGCTTTTAATTTTTGGAATGTGTTAGGGATAATGTTGAAGTTATTGTGAAATAAGTAAACATTCATTTAGAAAATACACAGGTGAAAAAAAAAATTACAAGAGCTGTAACACTTTAATTGGAAACAATTAATTGAGGAAAAAAGAACTGAGAAAGGTAGATTCTGGATCCCATCTCTTCTGATACAGGGGAAAATGCATCCTTCTTTTTTAATGTGGGTGGAATAATCTCCCCATTGGGATTCTGCAGTTCTTCTTAAACCTCTTGTAAGCCTTTGGATCTTTCACTTGATCTGAGCCTGGGGATTGTACTCCCATCACTAGCACCCTCTCCTGAGAAGAAAAGTGAATCCATTTTTTCAGGGTGTTCTCTGACAGCATAATTTACAGTAAGAGGTGCATAGGGATTAAATAGGGTTCTTCTACATGCATTGGTGAATTTATTGCCTCATCTAAAATTGGAGAATATGACTACTCAGTGATTAAAATACTTAGCCACGATAATACGCACATTACATTTTCGTGTTCCTATGTGCCTTTAAAATGTCCACCTTTGCAAATTAATTGTCTCTGTGTCTACCTTACAGCCACAAAGCCTGAGCCAGCCAAGTAACTCTCAGGGGGAAAAACATGGAAGAAGGTCTCCAAAATGTGCTAAAGAAGCAAATTCAACTTACAAATTCTCAGCCATGGAAATTTAATTATCTTGTTACTTCCTGAGCAACACATTGCATAGGGACAGTGGATCTGCATGTTCTTTAGGCCACCTTTAGACACTGAACACCTTCTGAGAGAATGGAATTTAGTAACTTGCTACAAAAAAAACCAAAAACTGGGAAAGAAC